TACACAGGCATCGGTCCCTTTCTCTGCCCACCCACCAAGAGCGTTGGTGCTCCTCCCTCCTGGAGTGGCCTATATTCCTGGGACGTGCTCCTGCCTCTTTCCTGAATTGGACCTTTGTTTCTAACATCTTAAATCCTTTTATTGCCACATACAGTTATTTATTGAAGCACATCTTTCTGTGAAAGAGAGTGTGGAGAGCAAATTGATGAGACCTCATGTAATTTGCTAAATGGTTTGGCTACATATGAAACTTGAAATTGGAAATCGTCTTCCTCAGAATTTTGAAGATATTCCTTTGCTGTCCCTTGGTATCTGCAATCACTGTTGAAACATCTCATCCTATTATTTTAATTTCCATCCCTTAATATAAAGGATAACCACACAGTGTGTTGCCAAAACCAAGTGCTAGCCTGACGGAACATTAGGACAGCAGACGTGACCCAGCGCTCCCTCGGATACCAGAGCCTGTGGCTCCCCCGTGTCTGTGACCTGTTTTTCTCTCTTAACTGTTTGGGGTCCTTTCTGCTCCTCGTGTGTACCGGCAAAGGCCCTTCATTCTACAGCACACTAGGTTTTGCAGGCTGGTTCCTGGTCTTTGATTTGGGAAAATTTCATAACTGTTTTAAAAACTTTTCTCCCAGCCTTTTAGTTAGATGTTTAGTCTGAGTGCTCTCCTGAATTTTTTCCTTTTTTTCCAAATAAGCAAGAGGATGTTATTTTTGCCTTTTAGTTTTATATCTGAAATTTTTTTTACACTTCCACTTCTATTGAATTTTTAATTTTTTTGCTTCCTGTTTTCTTGTTTTAGCCTTTTCTCACACAATCCTATTCTGTAGAAGTGTACTTTCACTTCTTTGAGGATATTTTGTATAAATTCCCTCCTCCTTCTCTCTCCTTCCTCCTTCTTCCCCTCCCAATTTTTTCTTTTCTCTGCTCTCTTTTCTTTTCCCTCCCTCCCTTTTTTATTTATCCTTCCTTCTTTCTTGTGTTTCCTTCATTGCTCCCTTGAGTTTTTTGTTTTTTTTTTTTTTTTTTTTTTCCTGTTTGTTCTGTGTCTGAGACTTCCTTCAATGCTGGTGATTGTTTACTCTCTGTTTATATTTAAGAGTGAGGCATTAAAAAAGTTACTTGGAATCTCTGAAGCCTGAGCAAAGCTTCTTGGCTTCCTTGAATAAATTGTACTATGAACTAGTCTCTCGGTTTGACTATTTTCAAATGTCAAAACTTGTATCTTGGGTCTTTTGTGCTGCTATAACAAAATATCAGAGACTAGGAAATTTATAAAGGATAGCAGTTATTTTCTCATCTTCTGGAGTCTGGGAAGCCCAGATGAAGACATCAGCAGGCTTGGTTGTCTGGTAAAGGTTGCAGTCTGCTTTCAAGGTATCACCTTGATACTGATTCTCCAGATGGGTGGCATGCTGTGTCCTCGTGTGGCAGGGGGTGAAAGGGCAAAAGATCCTTCTTCACTGATCTCTTGTACAAGGGTACCTGATCCTGTTGCCTCCCCAAGACCACTCCTCCCAGTATGGTTATGCTGAGGATTAAGGTCCCCACATAGGAATTTAGGGAAACACTGTCAGACTATAGCTATTGAAAATCTTTTGAGGAAGGGTAAAGCTATTTCGGTTTTCTAGAAAACGTTCCTTGGATCCCCCACCCAGGAAATGTACAGCTGAGCACTGGCGTTGTGTCAGTGGGAACAGAGGAACCTCAGAAGGCCCCCAAGATTAGCACGGAACTTTACACTTGCATCTTACCCCATCTCTTGTATTTCCAGCTGGGGGCTTCTGCCACTGTTTTCTTTTCTCCCTGGGACAGGATGGTGCATGTGGTTATCACGTGGCTGTACCCTGCTCAAGTGGCGCCACCGTGCTGTTCCTCCCACCGTTCTTGGTCATGCTCCTTGGAGGGCTGATCCTCCCTCTAGGCCTTAGTGTCTCCACGCTCACCTTTACTCCCGCAGGAACTTAGGTGATGGCTACCTTTTGCTGCTCCATCTTTTACATTCTTGGGAAATTTTATGGATATCAGCTCTCATTATCTCTCTTTGTCTTGTTTCTTATGGGTTAATACATTTATTTCTGTGCTGTCTTTCAAAGGGGTTGAGAAGGGGAAAGAGATAATCCAATGTATTTAAGATTCTATTTTTAACATCATGATATCCATGTTTTTTAATCCACGTATCATAAATGGTGCCTAATATGGTGCAGTGGTGTACCTGTAATCCTAGCTGCTTGGAGGCTGAAACAAGAGGATCATAAGTTGGAGGCCAGCCTGGAAAATTTAGTGACACCCTGTCTTAAGTTTTGAGACCTGTATGCTATTGGGGGTTAATTAGGTTTGTGGGCTGACTGGGAAGCCTAACTTCATCTGTGATTTTCCCCTGGAGATATAATCAAACCTTTCTGAGTTGACTCTGGAGACATTAGACTAGAACAAAAAAATTTCATACCCTTCTCCATTTTTCAAGTCTCATAGAAAATTACTATAAACACTGTGTCATCTTGATTAGAATAATAAGATTAGTAACTGTGCTAAGAACTTGAATTTTAGTGGGAAGGTTTGCTCATAGAGTAAAACTATAAAAGTGAAAGCATGGCTGTACATGGTGGCACATAACAGTAATCCCAGCATACTGAGAGACTAAGGCAGGAGGATTACAAGTTTGAGCCCAGCCGGGGCCATTCTTGCAAAATAAAAAATGCAAAGAGTGTAGCTCAGTGTGAAGGCTCTGGGTAAAATTCCCAGTACCAAAAAAACCAGAGCCCTCCGCTGAAGACGCAGCTCAGTGTTAAGAGCATTTGCCTAGCAAGCAGTAGGCCCTGGGTCCCCACCACTGCAGGCCAGAACAAAACCCCACCTTAGAAACAAAATGAAATTCTTCAGCCCATAGCCCTAAAGGTTCCTTTTTCAGCAGCTTTTTTGAAAGCAGTTTTATTTTAACTAAATTTAACTCCAGTGATAATGATAGCTGTAGGAAATAATAATGGGTATTGCAATAGTTTTTTATTTTTCCCCCGTTTTCTTATTTCTACTTTGGATACAACAGACTCTTGAAATTTTAGACTAAGTAAAGTTAGACTTAACTAGATAGACCAAGAACATCCTCTTAATCATGAGTGATGTACTTAGGTAGTGAAAATGCAGCCCAGACTGTGGGTGACAGCGTGCCTGGAAGTGAACGCTGCACCAGCTTGGCATGTGAATTACGGGGATCACTGCAAGTGTCAGAGCTGCAGTTGTTCCACTCTAGAGTCCAGCCTTCGTCAAGGACATGGGAGCCTGTCTTCCAGATGGGATCACCCCAGTGCCGGTTAATCTTCCGTGAGTCCTTGGTCCTTTGTGTCCGTAACATCTTGGGATCACGTATGATTAGGAAAGCTAAGGATAGTGGTTGTAATCTTGTGAGGATGAAACAGGGAACTTAGGCAGTAAATGCAATCATGCCATTATTTTCCTTCTCTTTATTACTGTTAACCACCCCCCGACCGCCTGTTCCCCTCTCTGCTTTTGACAGTATATTGACTATCAACCAGAGGCCCACGTTTCCTCAGCCTTGGGGGCAACTGCCTGCACCGCAGCAGTGTTACACAGGTTTACTGTGGCGTGTGTCTGTGTAACACTGGATTTGGATCTTGTATTTAGCTGCCAGAAGTGACTGTGATGAAGTAGGAGAGATAAACTGATAGATTGGCTGCCAGAAAGATGTTGAGAATCAATCTGATAAATAGGGTAGAGAAATAGCTTGCTGTTTTCTAGTGATAATAAACCAGTGGCCTCTGGTCCTTGCGATTTTAAATGTAATTGCTGTGGTAATAATGTCAAAAATAAGCAAATGAAAAAACATCACAGGAGGCTTTTTAATTGCAACTGAGATGTCCTTTTCCCTTTTGCAATAAAAGTTCACCTTACAGAAGTATTTTTATAAATTTGTTTTACTTCTTCCAGTGCCTACTTTACATAAACAAATGAAAACTAGAAAGTGAACTACTTTCATAGGAATTTATTTCTTCTTTCCATCCACCCACAGACTTGAGCTATTCAGCTTGGTGAAGTAGCTGTTGCTGCCATGTCTTGCCTATAAATAATTGCTTATTTTTGTGAAGAACAAAGTGTTAAAGTCAAACTTGTATTACTAATGAATGATGAGGAGGAACTAGTTTGTTTTAGAATTGTCCATTAGGTTTCTTTCAGATTGTTTGGAATTTTAATCTCTGTTGCTGTTTTCTGTATAGGAGATATGATATCTACAGTCATTTTGTAGCTTAAAAGTATCCTCCCTTAGTATTTAACTTCAAATTCCATTGCATCTCTTCACATTAAGTCTGTGCTTCCCTTGAATGAATTGTTCCCTTGAATGAATTGGCCCCTGTGTTGTACTTGCAGTATATATAGATTACTTTCTTTTGGATCCTTGAGATTTCTGTGACTGTGAATGTGTAATGTGTTAGCGTTTTGTCTGGTTATGTCACTTGATGCCTCACAAGATAGAGTAGCAGCTATAGAAAGCAAGAGTACAAAGTCTGCCCTCTTACCTACTGTCAAGCCCTTCTGAGGACCATCTGCCCACTGTGAGTGGTTGTACACTAGAAGTCCTGTTGGAGGGGAGCTGATGTGTCTTCCTTTTCGCCAGGCAGCCCTTCCAACCTGACCTTTTAAAGCTTCTCCATTGATATGGGTGGGGTGGACAGAACTAATCATAAAAACAGTGAGGGGAATGTTGCATACTCATTGATCCATTTGAAATGAACTGCAGTACAATAAGTCTTCCTAGTGGACTTCTGTTCTCAGCTATTGCTGTAGCTGCCTTTTAAAGGTGTATAAATATGAAAGGGTTAATGGGAATTCAGTCATGCTCTTGTCACTGGGTTGTCCCTTATTGATTGTAGTTTTAGAGCTGTCAGTATGCCATTCAGAATTCCTTCTGTGCCCTTTTAGAGTCAGTTGGTGCTAGGAGATGATAAATAAATCAGTTGCTTTTCTCCCCCCACCCCCAGCTCCTTCGAGAACTCATAGAACGGAAGACCAGCTCCTTGGATCCCAATGATCAGCTGGCCATGGGAAGGTAATTTCAGTACAGTTTTCTACTCATGCAAGCTGACCATATAATTTTTCCCTTCGAGTCCCCTTATTCTGCCTCCAAGGCAGTGATTGGTCCTATAATTATCAAAATTGAGCAGATAATAAGAACTAGAAAGACAAATGATTGATTGCCCTACATGGCCTTAAGTATGATATGAAAAGCAATTACAAAAAAACCTGTGTTTGTATTAAGGTTTATTTTTTTAAATCTTCCTTTTGCTCTTTGCTTTTGGGCTTGGATTATTATTGTATCCATATCAGTCTGCTGACCAGTGGATAAAAAGCCACCCCAACGTGTGCTCTCAGTTGTCAGAAAGTGGCACGGTGTACAACAGGTTTCTTGCTTGGAGCAGAATCTGCTTTGTTAGTCTGCTCTAATTTAGACACCCCCACCCCCACCGCCACCCCCACCTCCGCCACAGTAGAAGCTTCAGCACAATTAGAAATAGAACGTGGCAGCATTACCCAGATGTCAGGGTAGAATGTAAAGTAGTGAAGGAAGGCTCTTATGTGTATGCTTCACCCTGTGGTTGGAAAAATAAAAAGGGCATTTAGAGTGCTACCTAATGAATAGTGTACATTTAAATAGCCCTGAGCCATAATTTGCAAAAGCATGAAAGGAAACAAAAGCTGCAAGTGCCAGAATGGGATTCTGGGCCGAGCAGCATTTTGAGAAAGCAATAAAAAAATTGTGTTGATGAAATAATTTTATTTGAGAAGAATATTATTTGAATTTTACGGTAGGATGTTGTTGATATTTCGTGTGTCTGCAATGTGTTGTAGAGAGCTGTTCACCATAAATTTAGTGTGATAGACCAAATTGCATTTAAGTGATGATTATATTGTACATTTATCTGACTTTACAATAAAATAGATTATGGTAATTAAGATTATATTAAGATTACAGTAATTGGATTTCCTTAGATTTTTTCCCCTTCTGATGTTGAGTTTTCGTTGTGTAAATCAGGTATGATGACTGGCTGCTGTTGTGGCTGCTATTTTTCCTCCTCTTTTCACGTTTGTCTACAGGAGCGATTTCCTTAGCCCAGTATCCCTTATTTGAAAAATTAATTTCTTCTATCTAAAATGACCACAGAGTATATGAATCTTGTGTGGATGCTTATCCAAACAAACCAACTGTAAAATTGAGACAATCTGAGAAATTTGAAAACCAACTGAATATTTGGTAATAAAGAATTATTTTTTTAAGTATGAATGGTATTGAGCTTATATTGAGTCCTTATCTTTTATCGACATACACTGAAATATTTACAGATGAAATGAAAAATAAATGACCATAAGATTAGTATTAGTAGTGGATAATTATTAAAAATGAACAGAAACTAGCACAAAGAACAAACACTTGAATATTAGCAAAGGAAGAATTAGATTTAAAGAACGCTTATGTTCCTTCCAACCAACAGTTGCTGTTAGAGAGCGTGCTACACAGCTGAACCATTAGTAGAAAGTCCAAGCAGCTATACTCAAGCTGATGGGTTTTCTGCAGACTGGTAGATTTAGTGCTTGTCTTAGCAACCCCAAATACTAAGAAGCATTGTTAACCAAGTTTGTTGTAGAATTTCCCAGCTGCCCTTTGTGTTTTTCCTTTGTACAAATCCTCTTCAATTGATTAGTCACTTTGGCCCCAGACTATGTTGAGGAGTTTGATGATTTCTTTCTGCAGGGTTGTTAGTGAGAAAAATTCCAATTTGTCAATATATAACTATTTCTGTTACTGATGATGCATAACATTGCTTGTGATTTTTCCAGGCAGTGGCTTGCAATCCAGAAGCTACGAAGCAAGATCCACAAGAAAGTAGATAGAAAAGCCAGCAAAGGAAGGAAACTACGGTAAGTTGATTTTTGGAAAAATTTAAACATAAATTGTCTCTTCTCTTGTACTTTGGCAGTTAAGTCATTTTTCTTCTGGTAATTCTGTTTTTAAGGATCAGAAAAATAAATGATATTTGAGTTTTTGGTAACTTGCTATTTTTTACTCTAGAATGGAAATACAAGTTTCACTTACTTTTTCTTTTGTTGTAAATGAATGAGATAGATCTCTGTAAGAAATAGTAAAACAAAGGCAAGAAAGTTGAAATGACTTTAATTTTAAAAAGATATAAATGAAGGACTGCAGAGAATATTAAGTTACATAAATGAGGTTTAGAAACACAACTTATAAAATATTTTTAGCTAGGTATGGTGGCACGTACCTGTGATCACAGTACTTGGGAAGCTGAGGCAAGAGGATCACTGAATTTGAGGCCACCTGTGCTACATAATGAGACTCTAATGAGAAAGATTTTGACCAGAGGAATGTTGTCATCATATTTGCATTTTAGAAAGACAGTTCTAGGGTGTTGAAGTGGGCTAGAAATTCGTAAGGTCAGAGCTGGCAGGAATAAGAGATGATGGCTTGAGAGACATTAACTTAGTAGTTTGTACTTAAGAGTACATGTGGAGGGGTGAAAGAAAGTGAGAAGGTGAGAGTTTCAGAGGGATCTGGGTAGATTATGATATTACGGATGTGTATATGCTGCAAGGAGAGAGCCAGTGTTTTGTTGTTCGAGGGAGAGACTAGATTCAGTTTTGGAATATGTTGAATTTGATAAAATCCCGAGAAGCCCAAGTCTTGAGGCTTTTAGTTTCTGTGTAGTGATGAAGACTGAACACAGGGGCCTTGCACGTGCTAGGCAAGTGCCGTTCCACTGAGCTGCATCTACAGTCCTAGAGGTGAATGTTTGTGTCGAAGGATTGGCAGGCATGGTGGCTGTTACGATTTAAGGCTAGTTGTCCCCCAAGAGCTTCATAGGCAGGGTCTTTGAAAGGTTATTGAATTATGAATGGGAGCTTCTAGCTTGCTTGTGGTTAGGAGGTAGGGACTGGTTGGAAGAGGCAGTCATTGGGGGCATGGGCTGTAAAAGTTCCTCTCCCTCCCTGGCTCCTATCTTCACTGTCTGTCTGGTTCCTGTCCATCCCACCTCTCTGCCATGCTTTCCTGCCCTGGAGCCACCTGACTTTAGAGTGAAAACTCTACAAACTGAGCCAAAAAGCCAAGCATGGTAACACACACTTGTAATCCCAGCGCTTGGAAGGCTGAGGCAGGAGGATTGTCTTGAGCTCAAGGCCAGCCTGGGTTACATAAGTGAGTTCAATACGAGTCTGCACTGCACAGTGAGACCCTATCTCAAAAAAGAAAACCAAAACTGAGCCACAAAAAATCCTTGCCTCCTTTAAGTGGTGGGTGTCAGGTATTGAGTTTCAGTAACAGGAAAGTACTATACCCTTGAAATCTAGTATCCTGGGAGACTGAAGCAGAAGGATTGCAAATTTGAACCCAGCCTGGGTTTCTCAACTTAGCAAGACCCTCCTCTCAAAATAAAAAAGAGCTTAGTATGTATCTCAGCAGGAGGCCTTAGATTCAGTCCTTACCGGGGGAGAAATGACATACATATTTATGGTTTGGAGACAGTTTGACTGGTGTTCCAAAGGTGTAGCATGATACAATCTAGCATGACAACAATAAAGCCCTAAGAAATGTCAGCATACAGAAGAAAAGGAAGATAGAAGGAACCTGAGCAGTCATTAAGGTAGGAGGCCAGGAGAAACTAAGGTAAAGCAGTGAAAGCAGGGTGTGTTGAGTAAGGGGCAGCAGTGCCTGGTGCCTGAGAGAAGTCAAGTGGAGTAGGGACAATGGCTCTGAGACACACTTCTCCCACTGAGCTTCTCTTGGCTACGGTGGAACCTCAAGCCAAAAGACGTTCCAAACTTGAAAAACGCACAGAATGTTTGCTTTCAGATTTACTGTTTCAGAGGGCTTATTTCATAAAAGCATTTCAGATACCCATTGATACACCATCCAAAGGTCATGTGCAATACCTCTTAGTAAATATAGAAGGAATGAAGAAATGAAAATCACTACTAGGCAAACACCACTGTAACCATTTTTGTAAACCAGATCTACCAATACATGCTTAAATCACTAGGCAAAAATTTGAAGAGAAATGATACATTTTTACATGGTCTTAAAGTAGCTCTCCCAAGATATTACCAATTACAGAAGAATAACTTTCTAACTTTGCAATAGAAAAATTCAGCAAGTATCACCTAAACCAAGCGTTCAAGATCAATACCACCAGCAATAAGAAATGCCTTCCCCCTGCTGTCTTCAGTAGAAGGATACATTTTAGTGGTATGCTTGCCAAAAATTTCCAGTCTCGGCTGCATTCTAATAAAATATCATACAAACTCTAATTGTAAGGCATTCTATAAAATAAGTGAGCCAGTATTCTTTCAAAGTGTCAAAGTAATGAAAATACAGGAAAGAATAAAAAACCATCACTGATTGGCAGTGACTAAGAAGACAGGTGTAATATGGGATCTTAGCAAAGGACAATAATGTAAAAATTGGTGAAATTTGAATGTGTGTAATGCAGTTATTAGTACTGTACTAACATTAATTTCCTGGTTTTGATAACTATGCTGTATGTATTAAGTTGTTATCTTTAGTTACAGGGAATTGGGTGGGAGTATATATAAATTTTTATAGTATTTTTATAACTCTTCTATAAGCCTGATATTATTACAAAGCAAAAAGGAACGTAATAATGTCATGTGTGTTGGATTTTTTTTTATCATAAAGGTGAGAGCTATAGTGAGACTCAAAGAGGAAGCTTCGCTAATCGTGAGAACTGACATGTTCGAAACTCTCACAGGCAGGCGCTGCTGAACAATTTATATGCAGAGGCAAAAGAGCACCAACTCCAGAGCTAAATCGAACTGTCTAGATTTGAAATCTGACTTCCGTTTATTGGCCTTGAGACCTTGAGCAAGTTACTTTACATCTCTGTGCTTCAATTTCCTCATCTATGAAATGAGTATAATAATTGAAGTCACATCTCATAGGGTTGTTATGCAGATTAAATGAACTAATTCATGTAAAGTGCTTAGAGAAGATAAGTAACTTACCCAGCATTACAGAGCTGGTAAGTAGCAAACTGGGATTTGAACTAATTGGTCTGATCCCAGAGCCTATGCTTCTAACCTCTGGTTATTGAGTTGTTGTACTGGCAGAAGGACCAACTGGCCTATATAGGCACCGGAATGACAGCATCCTGTCCTAAAGGGTTAGAGGAAGGGGGCCAGCCTAGAGGAGAATGCAGTCAAACCAGGTGCTTGGCTGCATTTGTTCTTGAGGCATTTTGCTGAGAAAATTTTGTCCTGGTACTTGTTTGTATGGTACTGAACACTCAAATTAGAACTTACAGGTGCTGATTATCTTGTAACTCACAACCCTTTCCAGCAAAAACAGTTTGTTAGGTACTCAGTGTTTTTAGTACTTGTCACATCTCCTGGAACCAATTAACAGCCAGTACCAAATATCATTAAGTCATTTTCTTCAATTAGATTTCAAGAAGGTAGGGTGTGGTAGCTGTTCTCACTGATGGTGGATCCCACCATCGAACGACTTCTGGTCTTTGTTTGTGGCGAGGTTGGAAAGATGTAAAATTTCCAAATTAGTGGTACCTTGTAAAAACAGTTTAAACTACAGAGCACTAGTCTAGTGCGTACAAGGACTGGGTACCGTAAGTCCCAACGCTGCAAAAAACTTTTTTTTTTTTTTTTTTCGGTCTTTTTCCTTTTTATCTGTACTGGGGATCGAACTCATGACTGCCTGCTTGCAAGGCAGGCGCTTATGCCGCTGAGCTAAATCCCCAGCCCCTGCAAAAAACTTTTAAATCTTTGAGCTTTATCAACTTTGGTGCCCATGTGAAAAAATGAATACTGTTCTTGGCTCTATCCAAAGACAGTTTGATTCATTTTCTGGACAAAGATCATGAACTTATACCCCATGGTCTCACTGTCTGATACTGTCATCACAAACCACATTTAGAGTCTGGACTGTGGCAAGTCTGAACTGCGATGTTCTATGATTATAAGACAAACACTAGACTTTAAAGACTGGAGACAGAAAATAATGTATTATACATAATTAATGTTTAAAACCATAAACTGAAATCATATTTTTGTTATTTAACTGAAATATAGTTTTAAAAATAAGTTCATCTTTTCCCTTTTCTTTTTTGTTTATTTTTTATTGGTATCAGGGATCAAACTCATGACCATGCACTTGCAAGGTAGGGGCTTATGCCGCTGAGCTAAATCCCCAGCCCCCTCCCTTTCCTTTTTAAATGTGGCTACTGAGCCTTTGAAATGACACAGGAACATTTTTTTGGATGGCACTACTCTAAAGAATACCTTTACATTTAATACAATGCATGCAAGAACTGTTAACGGTGTGATCACAGAGGCAATTGTAAAGGGAGGTACTCAGATCAAACACCGAGAACGCACACTCAGTGCAGCACATTTCCTCTGCTCCTGGCTCTGCCCAGACGTGTGCACACTTTAATAACTGGCGGACCTTTCACAAGCTTAGTAAGAAAAGGTAACTGTAGCTTTACTGTGTAGGAAAAGGCCTATAGGATAAAGCATCTGTTGCTTTCCTTTTCTTGGGGATGGAAGCCTGGGGCTGCTCTACTTGTGAGCTGCACCCCTCCACATCTCACTATCAAAGGTCTGAAAGTTGGAATTATTCAAATTACTACTTATAATTAATTCCACTTATGTATACTGTTCAGTAAAATTACTAACAATAATTATTTCGAAAACTCCAAATATTCCCTTTTTTTTTTTTTTTTTTTGAGAGAAGGTTTCACTGTGTAGTTTAGGCTAGCCTTGAACTTGTGATGATCCTCTTGCTTCACTGCTGGGATTACAAGTGTGCGCTAATGACACCAGCTTCATTTTATAAGTAAATTATTTGGGGCTGGGGATTTAGCTCAGCGGCATAAGCGCCTGCCTTGCAAGCAGGCAGTCATGAGTTCGATCCCCGGTACAGATAAAAAGGAAAAAGACCGGAAAAAAAAAAAAAAGTTTTTTGCAGTGTTGGGACTTACGGTACCCAGTCCTTGTACACACTAGACTAGTGCTCTACCAACCCCACCACTAGTCCCCTTAGATGAGGATTTTGGTGGCTTTTGTTTTGCTTTGTTTTTAGTGTGTTTTCTTGAGACAGTCTCACTCTTATGCTCTGGCCAGGCTCAAGGTCCTGGGCTCCAGTGATCTCCCCACCTTAGGCTCCCAAATAGCGGGGATGGCAGCTGTGTGTCACCACAGCCAGCTGACCTGACATTTTATTTGATTACAGTGTTTATCTTTTATACTTAAATAAAAAGACAGTGTAAATGTTTGTGGTCTTTACCTTAGCGACCTTTGGGGCGGCATTTTGCTTCAGTCTTTCAATTTATCTATGTATATGTTTTAATTTAGCAATTTCACATCTCAAAATTTATCCCATAGTTATGCGAACACACACACCAATTTATGTATGAGCATCTTCATTTTGGCATCATTTAATACATTTTTAAAAGAAAAGCCCATCAATAAGAGATTAAATAAATTAACACAGTGGAACAATCTGAACTATGAAAAACAAATAGCATGTTCAGCTCTGTGGAAGGGGGAGCAGGACACCAAACAGGAAGGGCGCTATTCATAGGTTAGAGATGTATTTTGAGAAGGGGGTTGTTAGGTGATCTTATCATTGTGTGACCATCACAGAGCGGTGATGGCAAATCTTTTACAGCTTTCAGTGACAATAAACAGGCTGTGATAGCACATGTGCCAAAAGTTTGCCACCGCTGTCATAGAGTGTGCTTACACACACCTGGGTGTTAGGGCGTGCCGCATGTGAGGCTAGCTATGTTGTTGTACACATGGCCATCACTGACCAGTACATGACTATATAAAAAATGCACTGTTTCTTTGGGGAAAATGCTATAACCAAATTAACATTTTTAATTACCAGTGATTATTTCTGGAGAATAATACTGGGAACTTTCCAGTTCTCTATGCATTACTGTACTTGGATTCTTGCTATAAGAATTATACAGTGGGCTGGGGATTTAGTTCAGCAGTATAAGCGTCTGTCTGGCAAGCGCAAAGTCATGAGTTTGAGCCCTGGCACCAAAAAAAAAAAAAAAGAATTATACATTAACTTCATAACTAATGAGTAGCAAGCAGATATTTTAGATATAATGATAGTTTTTTGATGTTTTCCCCATCTGATAAAGAGTACAAAATTGAAAGAGATATATATGATTAAAAATAGAAAACTGTTTTATGGTATTTCCACTCCTGGAATTATATGTGCCCATTCAGATATTGTTTAGGGGACAATACTATGTGAATAACAGAACATACGAAATTTGTGTGTACATGTGTATATATTAAAGTCACTATGTGAAACAGATCATCTGTATGTATAGGCACTGCATCTTTGTGGCAGCTTTATTTTCCAAATTTTCTGCAATTGAATAAAATGTAATTAGTGTTATTACTAATACTAATTAGTGAATAAAGTGTAATTAGTGAATTGAATAAAATGTAATTAGTGTTATTGTAGAATTCATTTCTTGAGAAAAGAATGAAATTTGAGGAACTGATATGTGTAAAAATGTTTCTAAAGGTGTAAAATATTCTATATACAAAAAAATAATTTTGATAGTGTTTTGCTCACCTAGCCTCTTCATTATGATGAGTAGAAAGGGATATGTCATTGAGTTATTTATGGTATAATTTGGTCTAAGTAAGGTCATATATTTGTTCAGCCCCCTTTACCAGAGAATCTCAATATACTTCATACAAAAGTACCCTTTTTTCTATTGGTTGGAAGTATAGGTACTCTGATTTAAATTTCTGTGACAGCTATGTAACACCTCAACTAAAGATCATGGACTCAAACTTGGCCTAAATGCAACTGGGTCCTTCATCTAAATACGGAAGCGAAAGCCCCACTGGGGCAGCTGCCTTGAGCCTGTTCTCACTCAGAGCCAGTGGCAATAAGCGATCACGTTGGTGAGGAACCGCGTTCAGGTGTGGTGTCACTGCCTGTGCTGTTGCCAGCAAGGAGCATTAATGACGCCGAGAAATGATGAAGATGTCCGCAGAGGAGCAGAATGTAGTCAGGTCCTCAATGAGTTTTGTCTGAAATAATGTTCAAGGGTTTGTATATTGCTCAAAGGCACAAATGTATCTACTCATGTTTTGAGTGGTGATGTAAATGGATCTGTATTGAACCACTGTCATTTGCAATGTTCCGTTACCAGATTTTTTTTCCTATAGCAGTAAGGAATCTACAGTTGTGTGTGCTAAGTGTTCTGCTCTAGAGCCCCATGTCCCTGTGATCAGTTCTGGAGTGGTTTGCTCACAGGATACTCTTCCTTTGCTGGGTTATAGTTACTAATATCACTGTCTGATCGTTTCTGGCTTTGTTTAGGTTTCACGTCCTTAGCAAGCTCCTGAGCTTCATGGCACCTATTGACCATACGACAATGAATGATGACGCTAGGTGAGTAATAGATTAATTATATGTCTCAAATGGCTTCATGACAGCCTGATATTGACCTGTTCTACACCCCGTCGCCCTCTTGTTTCTTCTTATCAGTTAACCATTTGTCTTTGGCCTTATAGCAAGGATCCTTGCTACATCTCTTTACTCCCATAATTACCGGAAAGCCAAATCAAAAATTTCCATAAATCTCAGTGCTGCCTCTGGTGGTTGGTTTGTTTTTACTGTTTTGTTTTCAGCTTTATTCTGGGACTCTGGGACATCAGAGGTCCTCTCTGAGGGTCAGGATGGCCATGCTATGTGCCTTGAATTCTGTGCATATGCTTTCTAGAGGGTGGCTCTGGAGATTGAAAGAAGTACAGTACATGCTCATTTTATAAAGCTGACATGGTGGAAACATACACAGAAAAGAAATGGATACTCAGAGCCGGGCGTGGTGGCTCATGCCTGTAATCCCAGCACTCGGGAGACTGAGGCAGGAGGAGCGTTGTGAGTTCGAGACTAGCTGGGCTACAAAGTAAGCTCAAGGCCAACCTGAACTGTATAGCGAGACCCTGTCTCAAAAAGACAAAATAAAAAAAAAAAAAAAATGGATACTCATATAGCAATAAGTTACTGATTTTTAAAGAACCCTGTAACTTATAGGACTGGAGATACAGCTCAGCTGTGAAGTACTTGCTTAGCACATGTGAGGCCTTTCGAATCCCTAGTATGAGAGTGGGTTCTTCCACATTTAGTAATTGGCATCCTACTTACTATTGGTTTTCTCTTCTCCCACATTTATTTAACATTCATTGATTTATTTTCAATGATACAGACTGACGTGTTCATATTTTATTTATTGATTTATTTTTGTTTGGATGTTAAAATTGTCCCAGATTAATGGAAGCTCCTTCAAGCTGGCTTGTCTTTTGAAGTGTCCCTGCTGATCTTAGAGTATTTCTTTACTCTCTGGCACAACAGGATGTTCCAGTCTTATCTTATACCTTCCTGGTGTTAGCTCTGAAGTCAGCCTTTCTTTTTTTTTTTTTTTCCCCTGATGCCAGGGATTGAACTCACGACCTCGCTGAGTGAAACCCCTAGCCTCTAGTCAGCCTTTCTTTTTTTTTTTTTTTTTTTTTTTTTTTTTTTGTCTTTTTCCTTTTTATCGGTACCGGGGATCGAACTCACGACTGCCTGCTTGCAAGGCAGGCGCTTATGCCGCTGAGCTAAATCCCCAGCCCCCTTTTTTTTTTTTTTTTGTCTTTTTCCTTTTTATCGTAGTCAGCCTTTCTTAAAGGAGCCCTTATTCTTTGAGGTGGGTGATGATCTTTCGGGACCGAGATCTGAGTTCTGGCGGGCTCACTGCAAGTGGCGGTTATCGTTTCGGGCCTCTCAGCGTGTAAACCTGGCAGGGTGTGAATATTCACGGGCACAAACAGGATGACCACAGTTAGCGTCTCAGACTGCTTCGTCTTGGGCTCTGTGGGTTCTTTTTTAGTATGTGCTTGCTTTTGTTTTTTTACATAATTGAAATTATATCCTACTATATTTTATATACCATGAGCATTTTCATACCATTAAAAATACTCAAAAATTTGTTGGTCGGTGAGATGTGGTACAGTAGTAGAGCACTTGCCTATCATGCACAGGGTGCTGGGTTTGATCCCCAGCCTGCAACAGAAAATGCCCCAGCCTCCCTGCCAGCCAGTATACTTCAGTTTCTCAGCTGCCCATGTGAGAGCTTCTGTTCCAATTCCGGCTGCTTCTGGTCTCTTAGAAACAGCTGCTCACTGTGATGCACATCGTATAAACTAATCCCCAATTAACAAGCCATTCTGCCTCTGCACTTCTGCTTGCTTATCCCATAAAAGCCGTAGACCTCCAGAGATCTGGGCCTGATATTTTGGGAGTAGTCCCCATCAGTGCCCATCAACATACATAAAGCTGCCTCCAAATCCTGCGTATTGTTTTGGTGTTTCTGCTTGCCATTGCAGCACCACAAAAATAAGTAATTAAGTTTTAAAAAGCTAAAAAATTTAAGTGATTGTGTAGTATTTTTATAATACTTTACTTAGTTCACACTGCCTGTTCTGATATTTAAAGTATTTTGAATTGTCACTGAATAATGCCATGGTACACATTTTTAAACATGTATTTACCAAGTGAATTGTTGGTTATAATCTGGACACATAGGAGTTTTACCAACTTATCCTTCACTTTTTTACTTGAAAATAGGTTATTAACATTCCTTGTCATATTTTTATTCCACTTGCCTGGAAAGTGGTAGATCTTCAGGTTTAGGGAAACACAACTGTTATTTCTCTTTTGATGTGTTTAGTGCTTTGAATATGAAACGTCTTAAGGGTTATTCTGAGTACATTTACATCCATTTTTGTGATCTCATATGTTCTCCTGTGCTTCCAAAATGAATGCAAGGGGCCCCAGGGATATGCTGGGATGGCTAGCAAGGCTAGCAAGACCTTGTCTCAAACAAAACCAAAAATTTACTTGACAATGACTGTACCATGTAGGATAATGATCTCTAAGAAACAGTCTGAGCATAGCAGCATACGTAAATGCAGGGTTATTTTTCTGATCAGGTCTTCCTAGCAGAGCTAGGCAGATGTTAGTAGCGGCTTACTTTTCTCATTAACATAAGGACCAGCATCGCTCCGTCTTTCCCTGTGTCCCTGCAGATGGCTGCTGCAGTTTCAGCCACCAAACATACATGGCAGGAAGGCAGGAAAAAGAGAAAAATGATGGCAACCATATCTGTGGGGTTTTTCTTTTCTATTTTTTAAATTTTCCTTTCCTTTCCTTTCTTTTCCCTTTCCTTTCCCCTTCCTTTCCTTCCCTTCTCTTTGCCCTTCCCTTCTCTTCCCCTTCCCTCCCCTTCCCTCCCCTCCCCTCCCTTCCCCTCCCCCTTCCTTCCCTTTCCCCATTCGGTATCTTTCCTGAGGATGGCCAGGCATGCGCCATATCACTGCTTCTGCTTTGTAGTTTGAATAGGCCAGGTTAACTGAGTATGTAAATGGACAGTAGCCCTTTCTGCGTGTAGTATGAGGATTCCAGGGGCAGTTGTTTTGATCCCTTATCTCAAACAAAAGGAAGCAGTAAAAACTTGCCCTGCTTGTTTCTCTTTAGTGAAAAAACCAAAGTGGAAGTAATGGAGTGCAGGCAGCCCCCCGTCCCTGGGCTCTCCATCCATAGATTTAGCCAGCTGCAAATTGAAAATACTTGGGAAGGCCAGGTATAGTGGTGTATACCTGTAATCCCAGCACCCAAGATCTGAGGCAGGAGGATGGCCGTGAGTTCGAGACCAGCCTAGACTACGAAGTGAGTCCAGGCCAGCCTGAACTACATAGCAAGACTGTGTTTCAAAAAAAAAGAGGAAACAAAATACTCGGGGGGGGGGGGTGCATGTATTGTGAGCATGCACAGACTTTTCCCCTTGTCATTCCCTGAACAGTATATAGCTGTGTGTATAACGTTACATTGTGTTAGGTATTGTGGATAATGTGAAGACGCTTTAACCCAGGCAGTGGCGGTGAGCCCATGGCACGTCCGCGACATCTGGCGGTGTGTTATCACTCAAAGCTCTGAAAGGTTTGCCATCCCTGACAGGATGTACATAGGTTACGTCAAATGGTGTGTCTCTGTGTGTCAGGGACTGGGTGTTGCTGGATGGCAGCTGAAGGTGAGGAGAGGGCTGTCCTAGAAGTGATCCTCCAGAGACCCTGGGGACAGCCGTGCTGTGGAGGTAAACTTTTGCCATCACAGTGTGTGTCCCATTCTGTGTGCTGGATGGGAAGCCTTGAGCTGTTAGGGTGTCAGTATCACTGCACGTGACTTTTCCTCCAGTTTTGGTTTTCATGGGGGCAGTGTGCATACAAATGCATATATGTATGTATGTGTGTTTGTAGAAATTTGTAAAACACAATTTAGAGGTAGAGCAGGACTTTATAAAAGCATGATACTAGGGCCAGAAGCCATAGAGAGAAAGTATCATTAAGGCTTGATTATAGAAATTGTGATTGGTGGACCAGGGATTTAGCTCAATGGCTTAAGCACCTGCCTGGCAAGCATGAAGTTGTGAGTTCGATCCCTCAGTATAGTACTACATGCAAGAGTTGTGCAAGTAAAAGCAAAGCTATCAAGTTGGCATTTTCTCTGATCAATTCTTTGTTATGAATACTGCAATGTATATACTATATATGATTCTTCATTTAGCAACCAATTCATTTAATGGCCTAGTCACAGGACTACAACTCAGACTTTAAACGAGGAACCACTGCCTTTCTTTCTCGTGGCAATCCTCCTGCCTTAGTCCCCCAAGTGCTGGGATTACAGGGATGCACCACTCTGCCCAGCTATAATTCTTTTTTTTCGGGGGGTCTTTGTGACACAGGGTCTCGTTATGTACTTCAGGCTGGCCTTGCACTTAGTAAGTAGCCCAGCCTGGCCCTGGTGATCCTTCTGCCTCACCCTCCCAAATGCTGGAATTACAGGTGTGTACCACCATGCCTGGCTTGTAATTCTGTTTTTGAGTAAACAGATAAGCAAGTAACATGCCCCTTGTCCAAGCTAAGGCACATAATAACAAGTATGAGAAAAAGGAAAGGGGAACCAGATGAGAAGGGCAAAGAGGCAGGGCGTGTTAAAAAAGAAACAAACTGCATGTGGAGCCACTCCACAGCTGATTATAAAATGCGTGAATTGCAAACATGTATGAATAAATTTCTAAAAAGTAAAAATAAAAAAAGAAGCAGAAGCCTCAGGGCTTGCCGTCTGCCCCGAGAGGACTGCTCTGTGTGCTGTGACTGTGTGCTCAACTTCAGACTTCTAGTCTTGGGAAATAAATCACTTTTTAAGGAAAAAGAAATACTCTTGTCCAAAAGGCTTGAGACCAGAAGTGTTTCAGATTTTGAAGTTTTCCAGAGTGTGAAATATTTCCATATACTCTACTGGCAAAAAGTTTCAGATTTCAGTTTGCAGATTAAGGGAACCAACCTTACATG